CTATAAAAGTTTCCATATGCCTCCTGCAAAAAAGTCTCCATGGGCTCTGACTTCTTTTCCAATCAATCATTTACCAACTACAGAAGTGCAAGCTTGAGCCATGAATAAGACCACCCTATCGAATAATCTAACTTTAAAGAAATAAAGCCACATTTGTTACCTTTAACCTTTATTGCAACCTCCAAGTGATCAATGAGGCAAGAATTCAAGCTAGAATCATCCAAGAAATCTTCAAAGGTATTCCTCACAGCTTTAAATGTTTCCATGCTCCATATGTGCAAGGGGATGTTTCCCAATTTAACCTAATTCCCATAAGAAGGGACTACACTGATTCGACCATGAATGAGGGGGTTCCAAAGCTCCAAACTAATTGTAATAGGCCCAAAAGTGACTTGCCCTTTATTGGTATCAAGAATACGAGCACACTCCATCAAAGGGCATTACAGAGGGCTTTCTCAGGTCAAATGACGTTAATAATGAAAGAGAATTTAGTCTATTCTTAGAGGGTTTCAAGAACCTTACCCCATTTGTTATGAATGTCCCTTCGTGTAATAATCATGGTTTATTCCCTATTCAGATGCCTTACATTTTTTGTGCCTGATTCTTCTTTGTTAACCACGAGCATCCCATACCTTTAAACTTCAATTTTTCCTCTGTTTCTTTACCATTCTTTAGAGCCTTGACAAACGACACATTATGAGAGGTAAAGGCCATTTGTCCAACTAATGGAGAAATCATGTTGTTTTTTCCCTTTTCCTTTTAAAAGGTCATACAAAAGTCTTTTGAAAGCTGAGGTCTGAGTCAGAAGGGATGACAATGTTCTCTTGCCCCTTAAACTCTAGATTTTGGTAAACTCTATGAAGCTGCCTCTTTTGTTTGTTATCTTTTGCAATGAAATGAAGCCTCTTTGATACTCTGTTTTTCCAAAAAAAAAAAAAAATCTTTTGTAAACGACGAGCTAAGAGAAAGTCTTCCAACACGTCAACTACTCAAAGGATAATGATTTGTTCGACTGAAACTTCGTAGGAGCATCTAATGTGTTTTTCCACGATCTAGATGTATCCACCATTTTTTCTTTGTCAAAAGAACCCGATAATACTTTATTGTTTTATTTCCAGTTGATGGTAGATCGGAGTGATGAGGGATGAACGGGACAAGGTTTCACTGAGAGAAAGAGAGTACTGCATCTTCAATGTCATCTCTCATTTATTCCAACGTGATTAAGTACTCTACGAACTCATATCCATTTAAGTGCAATTGCTTAATTATGGTTTATCAATTTCTTAAAGAAAAGACCTCTCTGTCTAGCAAAAAAAAAAAACAAAAAAAATAAATAAATAAGCGACAAATTTAAATAATTTTAATTTATCGAATATCTCATTCATTGCACATCGAAAATTATACCAGAAAGGGTCAACTAAAACATATATGTCCATGGTTTCTATCAATAAAATAGAACTAATTAATATGTATTGTAAGGACAAATTTCCGATGGAAGAAAGCCCCAAACCTTATAGCTCTGACCAGCTTCGAAGTTTGAAAGTGGTGTCTTACAACCAGTACTATACGGCATAACCTAAAGAAAGCAAAAACAAAAACAAAAACAAATTTATAAATGAACTTGTGTCCAATAATTGAATTCAAGTAATTGCAGTTAGTTACATATTTACACAGTTCTAAAAACCAATAAACTTACAAAGACACATTATCCAATATCATGTAGACCCTTTAACAGGAAACCATATCTATAAATAATACTACTCAAAACATGGCAAAACAAGAAAGAGAGACACACAAAGGCATAAACATTTGCAATTACTACAAGTGTGTGCCGTTATGCTTTCTTTTGTTTTTTTTTTTTTTTTCCGATCGAAACAATTTCAAGGATGTGGATGTTGAACTACAAAAGGAAGAGGGGAAAAGGAAGGCTCAATTCCAAAGGGATTCAAAAAAACTTCTCAAATTGGACAAAAGAGAAACCGGACTATAACATTGAAAAGGGGCGATAATTTACACCAAAAACTGAATAGATGGACTCTCTCTACCCTCCCTCCTCTCTCTCTCTCTCCTCTACACCCCTCTTTGGCCTCTCACCTCTCGTCCATGGCCACTAAGCTCCTCTCCCCTCGCAAACTACAGACCCCTTACCTCACCCTAAGAAAACTACTCCAACCAACCTAAACCGAATCAAACGTTGTAAACAAAGTCCATCAATAATAAAATATGCTACAAAATCTTGAGCTATACGCTACTTATCTCCGTCAAATGAATTTGAAAGTTTATGACAAAAACATTTCTCATGTTTGGGATTAAAGATTGTTCTGAACTACAACTAGAGATCTCAAATAACTTTTCGCTTGAAAAACTGTTGGCTAAATATAAGAACTTATACCCGAGTGAGCTACCCCCCACCAGCTCCACCCAAAAAAACTCACATACTTACTTTAAACACACAAATATAACATGTGCCAAGGCTCTAAAACAACATTACATTTTATTCTGAGATAATATACATGACACTATCAGAAAAATCCAATGCAATGCAATGCAATGCAACACGTCCAAGCACATATCTTCTCCCAAAAAACAATCCTATGATATTCTTCACTTCTAATTCCGACACAACTAACGACTCCATAATGATATTCAATGAAAAAACATACCCAACTGCTTTGCTCGAAATACTCATTCTCTTAAATAATCATGATCACACGATGCACATATCATTTGATAGTCAAATGCAAACTCAAGAATACAACACATAAATTCAAAACCCCGCATTGCCTCCCATCTTTAAAATAAAATATCATGAAAGAATGAAGAAGCAACGCATAATATAATTCAAGTAAACTTCAGGAATATCAGCTGAATTGTGTTAATGGAGATAATTAATAAACCAACTAACCTTGAAACCTTTATAGACAAGACCCTTCTCGTAGAGCTGAGAGAAAACCCACCAAACACTCTCCATGAACTTCAAATCCATCGTCTTATAATCGTTCTTAAAATCAATCCATCGTCCAGTACGCGTGATGATTTTTTCCCACTCCCCCACATACCTCGTAACTATACTTCTGCATTCTTCATTGTACTTTTCAATCCCCATCTTCAACACATCGTCTCTCCTCTTAATCCCCAGCTTCTGATCAATCTCGTTCTCCACAGGCAATCCATGGCAGTCCCATCCAAAGCGACGAGTCACATGATGACCGGTCATGACCTGATACCGGGTGACAATATCCTTGATCGTGCCCGCCAAGATGTGACCATAGTGTGGGAGACCAGTGGCAAACGGAGGCCCATCATAAAAAATGTACTCAGGAAGGTCCCGGGTGCGTTCAAGCTGAGTCTCAAACGCCTTGATATCAGACCAATACTCAAGCACACCCTCCTCGTGCTTAGGAAACGAAAAGTCCTTACCCTCACAGACCTCATCCATGGCGACACTACGCTTAAGTTCAAGAAAAGGGTTTGTTCAGAAATCGACCAAATGTGCAGGGCAGGTGCCAATCAGAGTGCAAAGACGGATTCAGGGGAATAACAAGAATTCCCCGGAATTCAACCTGCATAGTTTCAGTTAAAAATGAGAAAGATGATGAAAAACATTCAAATTTTGCAGTAAGAAAAAAAAAACAGAACAAATCAAAGTAATTGATACTGAGCTTTGAATCCTGTGTTGGAGAAGAATTGGATATAGAGCAGAAAGAGAATAAAGAAGGGAGTTGAGAGAAATACGGGAGATTGGCGGAAGCGGAAAGAGTGGGTTTGCACCAAGTTACCCTAGAACTTCACTGTCAACGGCTGATTTCATGGAAACGAATGCGAATGGCACCATTATAAGCAGCGTTTCTACTTTGGTAGGGCGTTGGTTTGGAATGGTATGGTCTGCTCAGCTCAGTTTTATGCTTAATTAAAACACCCGGTTTAGTTTCATTCCGTGGACTAAAAAAATCTCTTTTTTTTTTCTCTCTCTTTTTCTTTCTTTCTTTCTTGTTGATTTTGTTTCTTTTAAATTTTTTATTTTTAATTTTGATCATTACAATTTTTTTTTTTGGGTTAAATTATAAAAAGTTATAATTTAATTTCTTTAACTTAAAAATTAAAATTTTACAAAAGATCGACCATAAAAGATAAACGGTATTTTTCTCAAAGTGCATGAGTGTGCACACACGAGGGATGTGAGTGGGTGTGTTGGTTAAGATAACTAGTGGAGGATTATTACTTTGTCTATTACATGTCACGTGTTTGTTTGTTAAGATAACTAGTGGAGGATTATTAAAGCCAGCAGATACGAGAGTCGCTTCCTCTTCTGACAGGCAATTAGAGTTAGGTGACTACTTTATTAGTTTATCCGTGACAAATAATAAACTTCAAAGACTAAAGAGGCTTAACAACACTTCAGAGACTAAAGAGGTTTACATACGATGAATCTGACATTCAATTACGGTAGCACAAAAAGAGTATCCACTCAATAGTGATGCGACTTTTTCGAGACTAAAGAGGTATACAGACGATAAAAGCCTCAATTATGGTAGCCCAAGGTAGTTTGAGAAGTCGGAAAAACAATCAAAATCAAGATAATGGTAGCCGACGACGATATGATTAGAAGAAAAACGATGTTGACAACAGAATCATCGAGAGGTAGCATCGACACTAAACTACTAAAGACGGTGTAAACGAGAATAAAAAGATGGAACACGTGACAAAGTGAGAAAAATACGAGTTTTTTCTTATTTTCTATTGCATTAACTCTTGAATTTGAAAGTTCACTTTCACTTTATGTCTACTTTAAATTTCTGGGATTTCCTTTTGCGATCCTTAACGTAACATTAATCTTAGAAGTTTAAAAAACGTTATCACTAATAGAACGAGAATATCTTTATCAACGAGTGATAATTTAATTAAATTAGTTAAAATTATTTTAATAATTTAACTTAGTGATTAGAAAGCTATTGGGCTGAATCCACAACTCAACCCATCAACACAGTCCACAAACTCGAAACCCATCCGACAAGACACAAAGACAGGATATCACAACAAGAATAACAGCATCCTGTAATTCCTCGAAGAACATCTATCAATGGCGGTTTCACTTTCAGCCGCCACACCCTTCCATCTCCTGCCCTCTTCTTCATTGTACAGTTCCTCATTGAGCTCCAAACAACACCTCCTCCGATCACCCTCCCGCCGCACCGTAACAGCTCAAGCTCAATCTCAATCTCAGCCTCGCCAAACATGGCTTCCCGGCCTCGACCCTCCACCGCATCTCGACGGAACCCTCGCCGGAGATTTTGGGTTCGACCCACTTGGGCTCGGCGAAGACCCACATAGCTTGAAGTGGTTCGTCCAAGCAGAGCTCGTTCATTCTCGCTTCGCCATGCTTGGCGTCTCTGGAATTCTCCTCACAGATGTCTGTCACTAAAAATTCAACCCCATTATCGAATTCAATCTTAAATTTCAATAATTTTACAAAGATTTTGTGTTCTTCATTGTGTGTGTCTGGCAGCTGCTTCGTGTAACAGGAATCAGTGAATTGCCAGTTTGGTACAATGCGGGTGCTGTGGAATATGGCTTTGCCAACAAGGAAACTCTCTTCATTGTTCAGCTGCTGTTGATGGGGTTCGAACTCTTCCTTATCTGTAATGTCATGTGTGTGGCTGTGTATTCATTTCTTCTGTTTTTGTAGGTTTGTGGAAACGAAAAGATATATGGATTTCAAAAGCCCTGGATCTCAAGCACAAGAAGGGACTTTCTTTGGATTAGAGTCCGCTTTCGAAGGACTCGAGCCCGGGTAACGTACATTTCGACTGTTCTTAAATATGTAGGTAGTCGTTTGTCTAAGAATCTCATAGGATATTTATACCGCTGAAATAAACTAGATCTAAATTATGGTAATAACGAGGTGTAATTAGAGTAAGAGAAGAAAAACACGAGGGAAGATGACAATAATTATAACAGCCCAAGCCTACTGTTAGTCGATATTGTCTGTTTTGGCCCGTTATGTATCGCCGTCAGTCTCACGGTTTTAAAACGCTCCACACCTAAAATGGAATGATTTGTTCCTCTCTTCAACCGATGTGGGATCTTACAATCCACCCCCTTGAGAGCCCAACATTTTCGTTGGTACACCGTCTGGTTTCTGACTTTGATACCATCTGTAATGGCCCAAGCCTACCGCTAACAAATATTGTTCATTTTGGCTCGTTATGTATCGCCGTCAGTCTCACGGTTTTTTAAAAAGGGTGCAACACAAGAACTTTCCAAGTTGTCTCCCAACTCAGTACTACTCTTATCCAAGCATGTTTAACTACAGTGTTCTGATGTGATCTAGTGCATTAATTATAGTATGATTGCACCTGTATCAATGGGAGAGGAGAACGAAAAATTTCTTATAGAGGTAGGAAAACCTCTCCTTTTTAAAAACTATGAGGGGAAACTGGAGACGGAAAGCCCAAAAAAGACAATATCTACTACTAATAAATAGTGAGTTTGAGCTGTTACAATAATATTTATAGATCGAGATTACAAAAAAAGAGCACACAAACACTTACCAAATACCCCATATATCCAAATATTCAAACTCACCCAAATTAATATGTACATTTGATCATTGGACGAACTAGTAGAGGGAAATCTAAGCTGTATCTTGTTACTTGAACAACTTTGGAACATATCTCATGGATTGAACTTCCTTACAGATACCCTGGGGGTCCTCTGCTAAATCCTCTGGGTCTGGCTAAAGATATCAAGAATGCACATGAGTGGAAGCTGAAGGAGATAAAGAATGGTTAAGTTTTGCACTCATTTTTGGTCTATTGCTTCGTCTTCGTTTTCCCAGACTACTAATCTTGGTTGCTTCAAATTCCAGGACGGCTTGCAATGGTAGCCATGCTGGGGATCTTTGTGCAAGCTTATGTAACTCAAACAGGGCCAATAGATAACCTTGTGGAGCACCTTTCTAATCCATGGCACAACACTATTATCCACACCCTCTCCAGCTCAAGTCCTTGAAGAACCAAAATATAAGCTATCTGGCTTTGGAGAGAATTTGTAAGCTAAACAGAGTACATATGAAAGAACAAATGAAAGAATTGAGGAAATGAAAGAATTGAGGAAGGTTTCATTGCTTGAATAGATAAATCCACCGATTCTCTTTCAAAAAATATATATATATATGTGTATATTGTTGCAACGGAAGTAGAAACAAGATTAAGTGCACTTACACATCCACCAGAAGAAATTCTCCTACATCCATGAGTGGTAGACAATTTGTAAAATCTCACATCAGTTGGGGAGAAGAACGAAACACTCTATATAAGGTGGAAAACTTCTCTATAGTAGACGCGTTTTAGAAACTTTGAGGGGAAGCTCAAAAGGAAAACCAAAAGAGGATAATATCTACTAGTGGTGGACTTAGAGTTGTTACAAATGGTATAAGAGCCAAACATTAGGAGATGTGTCAGTGAGGAGGCTGAGCCTTGAAGGGGGTGGACATGAGGTGATGCGTCAGCAAGGATACTAAGTCCTGAAGGGGGCAGATTGTGAGATCCCACATCGATTGGCGCAAAGAACGAATCATTCTTTATAAGAGTGTGGAAACTTCCAGAAACGCGTGTTAAAAACTTTGAGGGAAAACTCGAAAAGAAAACCCAAAGATCTAGCGGGGGTCGTTGACAGTTGCACAATTACTATAAACAAAGTGTTTACAAGTGTATCTCTTACACTCTCATGCTACAAAGTCGCACTTACAAAATTCCTCTCAATTGTCTCTAAACTAATATAAAATGACAATAACTCCACGTCTCAAAACAATGTTAGACAAACCTTTATATACAGGCATAACAATATTAATTCTCATACATGAATCAAAGCAATACTAATGCTCATACACGAATTAAGATGGTTCATGTACCAATATGGGAGATGAACTAAATGAATCCAATAGATTCATAAATCGAAATGGCAAATATACCAAAAGCATCCATGAATCCAAGAGATTCATAAACCAAATCTTCGCGACAATTCACAACAAATATATTCATCAAGAACATAGTTCGAAGAACTCATATGAGATGAAGGGACAGATGGAGTTTGGTATCGGAATTTTGGGTTTGTTTGGTAATATTATAAGAAAGGTTTTGTGTAGAAGAACAATGATAAAATCATAATTGAAGAGCAGTGGATGAATATTTGGTTATGGCTGCAAGAATCCTCTCTTTATCTCTAGTGGGAAATGCTTCTAATAACACGCCATCTTTATAAAAGTGGAACAGTGGCACTGTCTGCACCCATCAAATTTCAACATTAGTCAACAAAATAAACCACCAACTCCTCGTTACCTACAGGATGATCAGATCATGCGGATATACCTTTTCATCGATGAGGATGGGTAATAATTCTTGATATTTGTTGAAGATTAGAAAAAGGGATTAAGAAATGGTTTAAGTCTCTAAATTTTCAGAAGCAACGAGTTCATTCAGATGATTTAATTAAGGAGGAGAAAAGAAACTTACCTTGATCCTCAGTCGTTCAGCAACCTCAGATTGTTCATCGTATTCATCAACGACCTAAAATCACAAGCATTCAGTTGCAGAATCAAATTCATTTCTCCAACAAAACAACTTCTCTCATATGGATTACTCACATTGTGCTTCAAGAAGATAACCGGAGCCTCTTGATCTCCAGATCCCCTGCACAATTTCGCAAACCCTTGTTCTATGTACTTGCAACTCCCACAAGATGTTCGATAAAAGTCCACAACCACCAGCGCTCCACTTTTCTTCGCCCTCTCTAGAATTCTGATGAACTCTTCATCCGTCTTGAACTCCCTCACACATTCTACAGGGCAAAGATCATCGTCTTCGTCGGACAACCCCCCCTGATTTCCAGCAGCAACTCTGGGTTTACTCTTGAACATCAATTCATGTCTGATACTCAGATATGGTGGAGCTTCGGGCCTTATAATCGACAATCGAACATGGGGGTTTTCAGACAACCAGAAGGGAATTGAAATGGGTATTATTCTCGATTCGTGCTTTCCAAAACTGGGTAATGCTTTACATTTCAGTACATTCTGGTTCTGTCTTTGCATTGCAACATATAAGATTTGGGTCTTGTTTAGCGAATGAACTTCGATCGGGAAGCTAATGAAAACAGATTTAGATGTAGCATTCAATTCAGTATTTCAATCTTGTTGTGTTATTTAACAGTAATCAAAGAGGCAATTTCGATGAACGATTCAGAAAGATGAAAAATGACTGTTAGGAGGTACAAAATTGATGGTGGAAAGCAACAAATGTTGGACCAGTGGCTTACCTCTGAGCGGAAGAAGAGCAGAGGAGCAGCTGCGAACGAGAAAATGACACGACTCCACCATTATCTTCTTCCTTTGGTTGCCATTGATTTCCCTTTCACGTGGGAGGTTTTGTGGACATGGATTGATTCATGGGTTTTTCTACAAATCAGAAGTTGGAGCAGCCCAAGCCCAATATTGAATGGGTAGCAAAATTTTATGAATTTGATCAATCTCAGCTTCTACTTCACTATCAACACACATGTTCTAACATCAGCAAAGACAGGTTTAATCACTCCTGCCTAGCTTAGTAGATAAGGCTGTTATTATCTCCCAGTTTTGCATTTGATTGTACTAGCTAACCTTGTGATATTTTGAATTTGTGATCGAGACACGTTTTAAAACCTCTCCCTAATAGACACGTTTTAAAACCGCGATGTTGACAGCAATACGTAACGAGTCAAAATGGGAAATATCTGCTAGCGGTGGGATTGAGCTATTACAAATGGTTTCAAAGCCAGACACCGGGAGGTGTGTCAGCGAGGATGTTGGCTCCCAAGAGAGGTGGATTGTGAGATCCCACATCGGTTGAAGCGGAGAACGAAACATTCCTTATAACAGTATGGAAACCTCTCCTTAACAACACATTTTAAAATTGTGAGACGGTGATACATAACGAGCCAAACAGACAATATCTACTGGCAGTGGGCTTGAGCTGTTACAAATGGTATAAGAGCCAGACACTGAACGGAGTGTCAGCGAGGATGCTAGCTCGATGCAGATTGTGAGATCCCACATCGGTTGGAGCGGAAAACGAAGCATTTCTTATAACAGTGTGGAAACTCTCCTTAACAGACGCATTTTAAAATTGTGAGACGGTGATACATAACGAGCCAAACAAACAATATCTACTGACAGTGGGCTTGAGCTGTTACAAATGGTATAAGAGCCAGACACTGAACGAGATGTCAGCGAGGACACTAGCCCGATGCAGATTGTGAGATCCCCACATTAGTTAGAGAGGAGAACGAAACATTCCTTATAAAAGTGTGGAAACTTTTCCCTAACAAACATGTTTTAAAACCATGAGACTGACAATATACGTAACGGGCCAAAACGAACAATATTTGCTAGAAGTAAACTTGACCTGTTACAAACAACCCATCATCTTCTCGAGAAGATGAATCCACATGAATGAAAAAGTTCAGAGGGTGGAAGATCATGGAGACACATGGAGCTAAGCTAGTTTAATAAATAGATGAAGGTCGTATTAATGTATTAAAAAGAGAAGAATCTTGTCATTAGACTTAACATGCTATGTAGCCTTCTTTCCACTTGACTTATGTTTGCCTAACAATCTTAGAATTCTTGGGAAGAATGACCTCTTCTTTTTCTTTCCTTCCTTGGGTTTTTCCAATGATTCAGCTCTAACCAAGCTTTTTGGCGTCTGTTCCTTTGAAATTGGCTGTTGGGGAGAAGGAGAATCTGCTTGTTTATCAGTTCTTGATTCTTTTGCCTCAACGCTTCTCGTTTGGTTTGTTGTAGGTATTGCTACTTGTTGGTTAGCTTTATTGTCCTTCCTTTTTTGCTCTTGTTTTGCTCTCCATAATCTCAAATCTTGTTCTACTGCTAACTTTCCTTCCTTGGCCTCACTAGCCTTTTCTGTTGCAGCTTTTAACCCTTCCTGTCTGGCAACGAGTTCACGACTAACCTCTTCCAGCATTTCTTGACATTTTGCCTCGGATTCCTTAGCTACCTCGATTTGTGAAATTGCTTCTGTCATCTTGAAGCTGGCGTGCTCCTCGGCCTTGCGGGCTCGTTCACTGAGTTCATTGTATCCCTCTAGGGAAATAGTTACTGTGGTTGATGAATCTTCTTTCGCGGTTTTTGAGGAATCACTCTCTTGCAGTGCTTTGATTGCTGATAATGCCAACATTTTTGAAGCATTGGAAGCTTCAATCTCCTTCTGAGCTGCAACTATTCTTCTTTTCATCGCTATTTTTTCTGCCTTTGCTTGCTCTACTTCCATCTTTGCCTTTTGCAGGTTTTCACGAGCCATCTTAGCAACCGTCTTCGCCTGATCAGCCTCCACTGCTGCCTGCTTCAATTGATTGGTCAGGTCTACACTATTTCCTCGAGCTTCTTTTGCGTTTCCTTGAACGACAATGATCTCGGACATGTTCTTGTCTAATTCAGCTTCAAGTGATGCAGCTTCATCAGAATGTCTGCCTTCTCTCTTCTTTGTGGTTTCCATAGAAGATTTCTCCTCTTCAAGCTCCAATTTTAGCGAAGTAGCAGCCATCTTCAAGTATTCCACTTCTGCAATTGCTTTCTCTATGTTGAGCTTTACTTCTTCCAATTCCTTCTTTGTTGAATGAACCGCTGATTCTTTGTTTTCAGTTTCAGCAACTTCATCTTTCAGGAGTTGTTCATCACTTATCTCCTCTTCCTTTATTACCGATTCCATATAATCGACCATTTCGACTTTCAAATTCGATAACAAAGTCGAGGCAGTATTAACTTTCAGTTTAAGTTCTTCAATTGACTGAATTTTCAACTTGAGTCTACTAAACTCCTCTTCCGCATCATCTAGCTCTTTCTTCCATTTTGAACAATCCAGCTCTTTGGCCACCTCTGCAACCATCCTTTGCTCTTCTGCTTCTAAATGGGCAGCTTGTGCAGACTTCATTGATTCCTTTAAAGCTACCAGCTCTGTGACCAGCTCCTGTAGTGCCTTCTCACCATCCTTAGCTGCAGCAAGAGCATCATCAGCGTTTCTTACAGCCAAATCTCTCTCGGACACTAACGAAGAAAATTCATCACGAAGTACTTCCAATTCT